GGTTACAACAGGTTTTGGGAGCCGGGACATTTCCCAGAACATTTCGCAGCCGCCTGCTGGTCATCAGGAGCCCAGCCTGGATGCTTGCCTGGTGAACTGAGGTTTGCTGAGGGGTGTGACCCGGGGTTGGGTTCCCATTTATTAAAAAGCAATCCATATCGTTCATGCGGCTAACGCTGATATCTGCCTTGCTGAAACTCCCACAGAATCCAGTTGGGATACTGAAAAGAAAGACGCCCCTTCGCCTCCTTTGTCACAGCATTGCAGAGTCACACCTGCTGCAGATGCCTTCAGTGAACTGACTACATTCTAGATTTCTAAGTTTTGATAAGTCAGTTGTTTGGAGGAAAGAAATGTAATGACAGTTAAACCTGATACTCCTGTTGTTCCTGCCTGCAGCCGGAGGAGCCAAGGTCTGCTGAAGGTGAAAGCTGATTCCAAACTCACAGTCACTGTGACTGACAGCAGAAATGGAGCAGAATCAGCTGGACAGAGAAGCTTTCTCCTGTTCCATCTGTCTGGATCTACTGAAGGATCCGGTGACGATTCCCTGTGGACACAGTTATTGTATGAACTGTATCAAAACCCACTGGGATGCAGAGGATCAGAGGAGAATCCACAGCTGCCCTCAGTGCAGGGAGACATTCATACCAAGGCCTGTTTTGAAGAAAACACAATGTTTGCAGCTTTAGTGGAGAAACTAGAAAAGACTGGACCTCAAGCTGCTCCCCGCTATGCTGGACCTGAAGATGTGGCCTGTGATTCCTGCACTGGAAGAAAACTGAAAGCCAGGAAGTCCTGTTTAGTCTGTCTGGCGTCTTACTGTCAGACTCACCTTCAGCCTCATTATGATTCAGCTGCATTTCAGAAACACAAGCTGGTGGAGCCGACCAAAAACCTCCAGGAGAACATCTGCTCTAAGCATGATAAGTTGTTGGAGATCTTCTGCCGCACTGATCAAAAGTGTATCTGTTACCTCTGCACCATGGATGAACATAAAGGCCATGAGACAGTCTCTTCTGCAGCAGAAAGGACTGAGAGGCAGAGAGAGCTGGAGGAGAGACGAGGAAACATCCAGCAGAGAATCCAGGACCAGGAGAAAGATGTGAAGCTGCTTCAGCAGGAGGTGGAGGCCATCAATCACTCTGCTGATAAAACAGTGGAGGACAGTGAGGAGATCTTCACCCAGCTGATCCGTCTCCTCCAGAAAAGAAGCTCTGAGGTGAAGCAGCAGATCAGATCGAAACAGAAAGATGAAGTGAGTCGAGTGAAAGATGTTCAGGAGAAGCTGCAGCAGGAGATCACTGAGCTGAAGAGGAAAGACGCTGAGCTGGAGCAGCTCTCACACACAGAGGATCACACCCAGTTTCTCCTCAACTACCCCTCACTGCCAGCACTCAGTGAGTCCACAGGATCATCCAGCATCAACATCCGTCCTCTGAGACACTTTGAGGACATGGCAGCAGCTGTGTCAGAGCTCAGAGACATAATGATGGACGTCCTGAAAGACTCATGGACAAACATCTCACTGATTGTCACTGAGGTGGATGTTCTACTGTCAGAACCAGAACCAAAGAGCAGAGCTGAATTCTTAAAATATTCATGTGAAATCACTCTGGATCCAAACACAACACACACACAGCTGGGGCCTGTCAGAGGGGAACAGGAAGGTGACCAGGATGAATCAACATCAGCTTTATTCTAGTCACCCAGACAGATTCACTAATTATTCTCAGGTTCTGAGCAGAGAGAGTCTGACTGGACGTTGTTACTGGGAGGTGAAGTGGACCGGGTCGGTTTGTGTTGCTGTCGCTTACAAGAACATCAGCAGAGCAGGAGGTGATCTTGAATGTAGATTTGGACGCAATGACAAATCCTGGGCATTAGATCATCGACAAAAAGGCCTTGAATTTGTTCACAAAAGCATCTGGACCTCCATCTCAGGTCCAGTTTCCTCCAGACTGGGAGTGTACCTGGACCACGGAGCAGGTCTTCTGTCCTTCTACAGCATCTCTGAAACCATGACTCTGATCCACCGAGTCCAGACCAGATTCACTCAGCCGCTTCACGCCGGGGTTGGGATTGGTTTAGAAAGCTCTGCAGAGTTCAGTAAACCCAACTAGATTTCTTCTCCTCTATCTGATGGTTGATCCGGATTCATGGTTCTGAAGTCTCTGCTGTTCAGTTCTTCTCTGATTTAAATGTAGCTCTCTGTATTCCAGAATATCACTGCTTATGTTTTTTTTTCATTATTATAAGATACAGAAATATTTCTCTGCATGAACGTCTAACTTGTCTGGGCTCTAATGGCTATATTTGAAATGATTTTCTTGAATATTTTGGTTTCTCTTCCACTGTTCTGCAGAACAAATGTTGTTTAAATCATTTGGAATTGAAGTGAACTGGACTTGATTCTGTTTTCCTTATTGTGATCCAAAGAAAATACGAGAAATAAACATAGAAATTATGCTGGTTCATGTCTGCTTTTCTCTCTTTGGCATTCATTCAATAAAACGACTTGATTACAGAGAAATATGGAATGTTTTCTCTTCATTATGACAATAAATTTGGAGTTTTGTCATCTAAAATGCAGAAATATTTGTTCAGTGTCTCATGTGGTTACACCTAAATGTAATCCACTGTGGTGGGTTTAGTTTTAAGATCTTCATGTTTTCCAGTCATGGTGAAATCTACTGGGATCAAAACACACCACAGACTCATCATGATTTCAGAGAACCACACAGATTGTTGCAGCCGCTGTGTAAACATCAGGAGCACCGGGACGTTTCCCAGTGGCCTGACTGGCCGTCGGGAGCACCGGGACGTTTCCCAGAGGCCTGACTGGCCGTCGGGAGCACCGGGACGTTTCCCAGTGGCCTGGTACGCTCAGGATAGCAGAGAGGTGGGATCCAAGTTCAGTTCTGGTAGCTACCAAACTACCAAGACTCCAGTTGCAATACTGAAAGTGAGGGAGGAACCAGGCAAACAGGAAGTTGAATTTATGTTTTTTGAGGTGAAGTTATGGTTTCTCCATCTTTTAAGCTATAACCGTAGAGTGTCTTAATTTGATATAAAAAATAATGTACAACAATTAAAACAAAGCTATCTGCGTCACAAGCTAGCATAATTACAACTGGAAACATGGCCAGCAAACACAATAAAACATTTTTGTCAGATGGTAAATGAACATCTATAAACTTAAACAGCGTATTAACTTTATTCTGGTCAAGATTATTTACGAACCATCTGTAATGCTTACCTTTTAGCCATAAACACAGACTGGTCTGAAACAGCAGCTGGTCTCCAAGCACAAACTTTGTGAAGGCGTCGCCTCAGGCCTGTTCCGGCCGCCATCTTACATTATCTCGGTTAGATTTTCTACCTCCAACTCTTCATGAACAGAACTGTTTCCTGAGTAGCATCCCGTGGTTTGCCGTTTGTAAAGTTACACAGGAACTTAAACAGGTTTATTTTGCCTTGAAAAGTAAAAAATTGTTCATTTAATTGTCAAACTAAATATTAAGATTTCTAGCAACATTTCCAGCTCCTAACCGCATATTTAACTCACGCGCAAACTAGCTTGTTGATAAACGGAAGTGGAACATCAAAATAAAAGCTGGGTTTTCCAGACTTTTTAAGAGGCTCCGCTGCTGGCGGAACAGAATCGTTTCAGTCATTGCTCAAGTAACGTTTTTATATATAAAATTGATTATTTTCTTTTGATATGGCCAAGGTGTTAGCTGAAAACAGGACTTAGTGTTTTAGCGGTGACGTTTACTCATGTTTCTATAGCAACAGCGGTGAAGCCAGATGACTTCCGGTTCGTGTTCGGTTCACTCTATGCAGCTGCTAACAATAAATAATTTTGTTCTTTTTTTATGAATGAATAAACATCAAGTTTTCATCTTCGATAGCCGCTCTAAAGCAACTTAAGAGTGAATGAAGTTGAACCGGAAGTGTTCTGTGGTGACCGATCCAGAAACTGTCGCTGTAACTGCATGAATACATGAATGTGTCGCCGTGACGACACGTCCTGCTCAATGAACACATTACAGGCAATAAACGAGGAAAAACCTTGACATGCGCAACGATTCAGACCGGCCAGCAGCGGAGATAAGAGCCTCAAAACCCAGCTTTTATTTTGATATGCTACTTCCGCTTTTGCAGCTAATTTGCATGCTAGGTGACCTAAATATTTATTTACCAGCTAAATATTTAGCTATAAATTCTATTACTAACTAAATATTTAGTTTATAAGCTAAATATTTAGCAGAAAAAAATAAATGTTTAGTTTGGAATTAAACATTTAGTTTAAGAGTACAAATTAATTATAAACCAAGTATTTCTATTTTAAATTAAATATTTCGTTTAGATCTCTGACATAAAAATATGTATGAACAACATGGTGAAATCATGGCTTTGAAAAATTATCTCCCAAATTGTTTTCTCTCTGATAGGCTAAATAAACCAAAACTAGTGCTCATTTTAATACTCTATAACTTTATATTCCGTCTCTTTGCTGTCGGTTTGTTTTCAGCTTTTATGAACAATTTTCAGCACAACTAATGACAAATAAATGTTTTTCTCTCTTGGCTTCATTCACCTCGTTCTTTCGTATTAATTTGTCTTGAGGTAACATTCAGATTTATATGCACGTTACTTTGCGTTTTTTCCTTCTGTTGCCTCTTAATGCATCTCTGGAGTTTTTCTGGGTGTGCTGCATTCCTCATTTTATTCTCTCGCTGCAGTTAAACAATCATTTCTTGCAGCTCCGCAGTCTGTCTGCTTGTTCTCTACATTCTTTCACAGCTCTGTATTTTAGATTGAATCTTATTGCGCCATCTGTTGGCAGGTAGATTAACTTTTTACTGGGACTTTTAAAAAATCCAAGTTTTTCTTCATTTTCACATCTGACTGCATAACTGATTTAATAGAGAATATTGTATTTGTGTTAAATGATAAAAAAAACATAAAGCAAATTATTTTCTTCTTCTCACTTTTATTCTCCTGCACAGAAAATCTGCATGGCTCCCCTGCAGCTCTTCACTCATCTGCCTCGGACTCTTCGTCATCCTGGCTGATCTGGAAGTAGCGCAGCTCGTATGTCTCTTTGTCGGACGCCACCACCCTCAGCCAGTCCCGCAGGTTGTTCTTCTTCAGGTACTTCTTGGTCAAGTACTTCAGATACTGCCAGAGAAGACGACGGGTCGGTTCTTCTGTTAACATCATCTTCAACAGCATCGGCAGGCCTCGCTTACCTCTTGGAGAACTGTTTCTCAGACGTTACGTTGATCTTGTTCTTCATGCGGCCGACCTGGACGATGTTCCCCAGGTTCCCCGTCTTCCCGTTCACCTTGATCCGCTCTTTGAGGAAGGTTTCCTGTCACACAGACACACATAATGCGCTAGGGAAGGAACCCTAGTCGACCCGGAGCTAGGGAAGGGAACCCTAGTCCACATGCAACATTAGCTGCTAGCAAAACCAGTCACTTTAATGTTGCTATGGGAACCGTGACAGCTGTAGAAGTCATATCTATGGACAAAAAGGACTTACAAAGTTTGCGGAGTCCAGGATGCCGTCCTCCACTGGGTGGGTCAGGTCCAGGGTGAACTTCCAGGACGGGGCCTTTCTGGACTTCTTGCCTGCAGCGACTCTTTTCTGTTTGATCTGCAGCACAAAGCAGCAACGTTTCTCCATCAGTCAGAGCCCAGACCTCAGTTTATCCGAACCAAACCGTCACACAAGCTCTCTGAAATCAACTCTTACTGTTAGCATGAAAGTTCAGGCAGAACTGTAAAGTAACGGTGATTTCAGTACTTTGGATGATGAAGGACTCACATGCTGCTATACAATACACTTTAAATTAATACCCAAAACCACAATCATGCTATTGTTATTCTACATTTCATGACTTGCGGCTTGTTTTTTTTAAATGAGACATGGAACAAATCAAACTTTTCTGACTGCGTTACAGAAAATAGTAAACAACAAAGTTGGGCTCAAACCATTAATCAGATTAATGGTGATAAATTATGAACTTATTAAGTAATAACTGTTAAGAGTGTAGAGACTAAAACGTCATTTGTTGAAAGAACACACTTATAGCAGTAATTCCAACTTGGACGGTTTAATATTTCTAGTGCACTGGATCAGCCCACAACTACTGTACAATATTCACTCAAATAAGCCACAAGCTACACAGAAATATATTTTTTGTAAACATAAATACTAAACTGGTAAGTAGCAAAAAGACTAGGACGAATAAGCCGAAATGGCAACAAGGCAACGAGCTGCCTAGCAACCAAAAACAAAGCACGTAAAAAATTTATCTGAATGGATAAAATCCTTCATAACGAAAATCCAACATATTTTCTACGTAGTCTGGTCTACCGGCAGACCGATACTGGAACACGTGTACAGGCTAACGCTAACTCTGCCCTTTTTCTACACTGTTTATTCATAAAAACAATTAAAATCACGCAAAGCTTACTATATCACTAATAATATATATTTGTTTTAAATAAACAACTAAAATCACATCTATTTCGCTAACTGGAAGAGGAGCGAACCGGACTCACCGGCGCCATGTTGAGACCGAACGGGAAAGAAAGAAACGGATGTGACGCACAGGGACGTAGGACGTCCGGCTTGAAACGCCTTTCCCAATATGGTCAATGCCACATCTGCCCAAAATAATAGAATACGTGTAAAAAAATAACAATTTACAACCTAATGATCAGGCGTTGGTATCACGTTGCTACATTTACTGGAGTCATTTTGTGGAAAAATGTTAATTTTAGAGTAATTTTACTACAACATGCTTTTTTACAATTACTTGATCATTTTTGTAGCTTTATCAAATAAAGCTCAAACATATTTTAATAAATATATGCCAGATCCAGATACAAACCTACAGTTATGTTGAAATGAGACCTTTTGTTTGTAGACAAGTTTCATTTTTCTGATATTATTTTCTATATGCGAACCCTTTTGTGCTATTTGGAGATAAAGAACATACAGCATATTCAGTAATATATATTCTCAGTTGACATACTTTACCTACTATAAATATTATTTTCAATATTTTATTGTGGGAAAAACTAATTGGAAAAGTGTATTTTTTCTGCCTGAGCTTGTTATTTTATGTTACTTATTTGTATAATTTTTCCCACATTTTAGTCTTCAAAATTGCACATGAAATAATATTTTCTCCATCTGACAATCAGTTAGTATTTAAGTAGCTTTTTTACAAAATACTCTTCTAGTCTTACTTGAGGTATTTCTTGGAGACACATTTTACCTGACACAGACTATAATTTCTGGGTTTTTTGCCCAACTTTGCTAATAATGTAGCAGACGTTTTAACAATTAAATAAACACAGATTTTAATGTGTTTAGCTTAGAAACAGCAGCTATTGTGATTTTTCTTCCTAAAAGAGGAAAGTTTGGTCACTGCAGGGTAGAAGCTGTTTTCCCTTGTTGGTCAAAGGTCAGATGTTGCCAAACCTGGCCTGATAATAAACCTGATCAATCATTGACCTGCTCTCCGCCCCTTTCAGCTCCATTCATTCGGCCGCTCCACGTCTCCGAGCCTGCAGAGGAAATCAGCCTCTGATGAGTCACAGAAACCAGAACTTCGCCCTGAAAGGGAAGAGCTGGAAAAATGAAAGAAAAAAAGAAGCATGCATTTGTTTTTCCAGTGATTCATCTGCATGCTGGGTGTTTCTGTCCTGGCTGCAAATACTACAACTCAGGAGGAGGAGAAGAAAAAAAGACGCATAAAACAGGAACTCAGAGTAACTCAAGTTCTGCATTTGAGGAAATGACACAAGTTTGGTTTTGTTTCTACCACAATGTTACACAAACTCAGCTCTCTTAAAAATCAGAGCCACGGAGTGATAATAATTCTGTGCATTTTATTTTGTGGAATTATGGAACGTCAAATCAAAAAATTACTGCAGGTTAACAAGAAAGATGAATGAAGAATTGTTTATTAAAGCACAGACCTACATGTAACATAAAAGCTTCTAAAAGAGAAGAGAATCTTTCAGTCTTCAGCTTTATTTGAAGTAAATATATATGGACTTAATTTCACAGTCGTGTTTGTGTGACAACAGCATCAATAAAATAATGAACATAGTGTGAGCAAGTTTTCTTATTGCTTAAGTCCCTTGTGTTTAAGCAGATTGCTGCAGAAACTGATTGAGAAAATTTGGATCCAAATACAAAAAATTAAAAGAAATTCTTTGAAAATGTTTCCTGACGGGACTTTAAAAAAAATCTGCAATAACTGTAAATATAATTTCATGACATGGTAATCATCATAATGACTTAAAGCAAACACAGACATGAGTTATTTCTATTTATTTAAAGTGTTAAGATAAACCTGTCTGACCAGCACATCCACATAAATGAGGATATAATTAGTTTCTTTCAGGCTAATTAATTAATTAACTCAATGTATTTACTTGAGTAACTGACAAAAAAAGTACTTTAGTTTTACCACATATTTTTTACTTCTTGTTTAAAAGTAAATTTTACTTATTTGATCTCAATTCTAATGTTTTAGCAGTTTTGTCAAAGTGAGACATCTTGTTTGTACACAATCTTTGTTTTATTTCACTAAAGCAGCTCAGATTTAAATACTGCAAACATCAACAACTTTATGATGCAAATACATTTAGAAATGTTTTCTTTGCTTGAATTTTCTTTAAATACAGAATTTTGCAGAATTATATTCACATAATTACATCATTTTTCTAATTAAATCAAAAATACTTTTAACCTCTGTAAGTGTGAAGTTACTTGCAGCGGAGGCTTTTTATCAGTTGATGTTTCAGTTCAGGTCCGATCAGTTCAGGCTGATCACACGGTAATCAATACATTTACTGGTTCCTTCAGGCAGAGACGACCGGAACCGAATCCAGATGGAAAATCAAACCCACTTTGGACTCGATGCACCTCAAACGTTCAGCAGATCAAACTCTGGAAACTTCACCTTTGACCTCAAGCAGTTTGCATTTTGTTCTCATCTTACAGAACAAAATAAATAAAAAAATGAGCATCATTTTTGATTGACCTGAAATAAAAGGTTTTATAATCCAGTTCAGATTCTTCCAGCTTCGTCTCCCCAAAACTCCCTCAATCGATGTTGGTTGTGCAGTTCTCCACTTTTTCCTTCCAGTAAACTTTCTATTAAAATTTCTTCATTTCAATAAAGCACCTTTGCAAGATTCTACATTTGAAACTCAGAAATGTGTATAAATTTAATTGGAAAGTTTGTGGAAGAAAAAAAGCCCCCCCCCAAAAAATAATTAGAGAACTTAATTTTTCTCAGTCGTTAATCACAAGTTTGACATTTTGAACAGAATTACAAAGTTTAATTGAGCTTCTCATTTATTGTACGGAGTCACATTCCTGCAGCATCATGAGTTTTATAGAGGCTAGGATACTGATGCTAACACTTTCCTAAGGTTCCAGCTGTAGAAACAGTCTCTGCAGCATTGAAGCACAAGTTAGAAATCGCACAAACAAAACTGATCCAACACTGCAATGCATTTATTTTCTGCCCACAAAACAAAACCCGCCAGGAGACAGAAAGCAGACAGACAGCGTTTTGCAGTTTTTGTCCATTTGTATCATTGTTTTATTTTGCCTTCTTCAGTCAGGTGACAAAAGGCCTCGAGTGAACAGAAAGTTTGCAACTGAACCACCCTCCCAAACCCGAATAAAGTCCCTCAAAAAGAAAACAAAAGGAAACACTTCTCACTGCAAACCGCCTCCACATGTCGGAGGCCCACACCGCTCCACACTCACGCCTCTGAAATCAAAGAATAACACTTTTTGTAATGGGGGAGGGAGGGAGGGAGGATGGTTACACCGGATCGAGAATTTGGACCAGAAGTACGAGCGCTCCGGACCGCCGCGGCCCTCAAACTCCTACAGACCAGAGACAGACACTGAGGGGGAGTTGCTGAAGTTCCTGACTGGGGTGGGAAAACTTTTCGCTTTACATGCTGGGTGGGCTTCTTAAGCGTTTACCACCCTGAAGAGGAAGCAGCCCTTCCCTCCAGATCCGCTTTATTTAATCTAAAGAATATAAAAAATAATCATACAAAAGCTGAACCCCAAAGTTTCTTTTAAACATTCAGGAATGTGAGTGGCGAAACCAACACTTTGAAGGCAAAAATAAGCAGGAATGAGCAACTGATTGGGATTTTTTAAAGTTGTTTTATATAAAGTAGATTGTTACCAAACAAAAACTCAGTCATCAGGCAGAGGACCACGCAGCGGGCTGCGGTGGAACATTCCCAACAGCAACGGAAAGAGAAACCAGGGGTGGGGAGAGGAGGCGAGGGAGAGGGGGGCAAAAAGATCATTGATGAGAGAAATTACAACAGAATGATTTGAGGTTGTCTGTGAAGGCCGACGCTTTGGTGACAGAACCAATGAGGATGCAGGAGACTGGTTGTGGGTGGTGCTTGTTGCCTGGGCAGCAAAGTCCATCTCCCTATTTGCTGGCCAAGACCTTGGTAGCGACAGCACATTCCTCCCCCATGGCAGAAATCACGGTGACCTGCAGGCAGCCAGAGCAACGTGTCCGAGTCAATCATCTGAAACCCGACACCGGGCCGGCCGGCCATCCGTCTGTCTGTCCGTCACGGCGCCAGAAACAGAAACTCACCATGAATTCTTCACCCGCCTCAAACTTTGATTCAATTTCCTTGCCGATGTCGCTGTCGGGGACGCGCAGGTCCTCTCTGATGTCACCGTTGTCGCTCATCAAGGACATATAGCTTTCAGCGATGTTAACGAGCTGAAAGCAAACCATTCACTTCATTACTTCATCTGAAAATATACATTGAAAACAGGCTTTCATGTTTACAGACTGTGGAGAATTTGATGGAAAACACAAGGATTAAAGTTTCAGTCAGAACCTGACGGGATCCGGATTCTTCATCAGGAACGTCCTGCGCAGGACGGTGAGGGGAACCAAACGGTTATGATCCGATTCAGACACAAGGCTCCAAGTACCAGAATCCTCAAACCCAACAGTGACAGCAAACACTTCCGGCTAACAATGCTAATCATGCTAACGCTAGCAGAACAGACATCCTCCCTCTGCTGACATTATTCAGACCCAAGGACAGAAAATCATTTCCATTCCAGAGGCTCAGGCTTCAGAAATGTGATTCATCATCACTGTAATGTTTTCAATCTTTAAGTTCACTTTAAACCTTCACATCGAACACAGAGACACTTTTTATAACTGTATTTATATCAAGATGCATGCACATTTTGTAAATATTATAACTTTTGCTATTATCCAACAGTACAGTTGGATAATATCGCCATTTATATTCTGTGTTTATATTTTCTATTACTGCTCGTCACTGAGCCGCTGCTGTTCTCTCATGTCCCCATTATGACACAATAAAGGACATTTCTGTTCCGTTTCCTGGCTGTAAGCAGATCCATCTCATCATCTGTTAAATAACAGACCAAAATAATAAAACCTTATTTTGTGCTAAACTATTATGTGTTCCTATAAAGCATAACTAAACTGATCTAAAGTTCAAACCAGAAAAACATCCAGAACTGAGAGACTAAAACTTCCAGCAACAAAAAT